TTGAACCTCCCATCTTGTTGCTCAAAGTGATCTTGCGGTTCAGTGCATTATCCAGCAGCACCACACCAGGAAATAAGTCATTGGTTTTGTTGTTAAGTCCTGTTGAGTCTGGTTTCCAAGGAGTGGCTGGTGAGTTTGAAACACCAACCTTGTGGTTCAAACCAACCTTATTGTTCAGTGCTTATCCCACAGCTATTTTTAAATAGCAACTTCTCACCAAGATAAAATAACCATCTTCATGTAAAAACTTCTTCAGTCTTTGAGGAATGCACAGTGAACAGTATCCTTTTATACTACATGAGTACTTTTCTTTTGAATGCAAGTAACATACAACACCCACATACAGTTGTCTTTTAAACAAATCTTCAAGGCTCTTACTGAATGAACGCTCCACAAACAAGTCAGTTTTACACAGATCGATATTCTTTCTACCGCCTACATTTTCACTTGGATGCTTGAAAACAATTCGTATGCCTTTAGACACAATGCGCTTACCTACAAACTGCCTAAAATGAAACATTTGAAAAATCTATTTTTTAAAAAAGTACAATAAACCCTTGAGAATGAGGTAATTCAATTGAGAGTGCAGGTGTGTGCGACAGCCTCTGCTTAGGGGATGGCCAGTCTCAGAATGGGAACAACTTACCCAGGCCACCTCCTCATCAATAAAGATAACTTCTAGTAAGCAAAGGGTTTTCATATAATTTAAAATCATCTTATAGAAATGAAATGTGACTGCGTGAGTCATAACAAATTATGGATGACACTACAAAGGATGGGAATTTCAGAACTCTTCACTGTGTTCATCCCGAACCTGTATAAAGACCAACAGGCGGTTGTTTGCACAGAACAAGGGGATACTGTATGGTTTAAAATCAGGAAATGTATCCATCCACATTGTATCCTTTCATCATACTTACTTGGTATGCTAAGCAAATAATCTGAGAGGCTGGACCATATGAAGAGGAACATGCCACCAGGATTGGAGGAAGACTTATTAACAACCTGGAAATGCAGATAACACAACCTTGCTTACTGGAAATGAAGAGAACACTTGCAAATGACAATCAAAGACTATAGGCTTCAACAGGATTACCCCTCAGCATAAAGAAAACAAAAATCCTTATAAGTGAACCAATAAAAAACATCATGATATTGTGGTTGTTAAGTGCCTTCAAGTCGGTTGTGACTCATAGTGACCCTATGTAAAACAGAATGAAACACTGCCCAGTCCTGCACCAACCTTGCACTTGTTCTGTTTGAGCCCATTGTTGCTGCCACCATATTAATCCATCTTCTTTTTTGATGACCTCTACTTTTCCAAGCATGATGTCCTTCTCCAGGGACTGGTCCCTCCCTACACTATGTCCAAAGATGAGAGACAAAGTCTAACCATCCTCATTTCTAAAAAGAGCAAGAAGCATCATGATAAATGGAGAAAATATTGGAGCTGTCCAAGATTTATATTTTTCTTTGATCTACAACCAATGTCTATGGGAGGAACGGCCAAGAAATCAAATGAAGTATTGTGAAAATCTGTTGCAAAAGGCTTCTTTAAAGTGGTCAAATGCAAACATATCACCTTAAGGACTAAAGTGTGCCTGACTTGAACAATGGTGTTTCCAATTGCCTTGTATGCATGGAAAAGCTGGACAATAAATAAGGAAGAACAAAGAACAATCGATTTGTTTGAATTCTGGTGTTGACAAAGACTGAACACAGTCTTGTATAGCAAGACATCATCTCAGGTATTTTGGACATGTTATCAGGAAGGATTAGTCTTTGGAGGAGGACATCACTTTTGGCAGTGGCTCAGAGAAAAAGAAGACCCTCAACGACACGGACAGACACAGTGGCTGCAGCAATGGGGGTCAAACGTAGCAACAACTATGAGGATGACACAGGATAGTTTGCTGTTTCATTCTGTTGTACACACAGTCAACATGGAAACCAATGACAAAATGATATACTCTCCCTGTGACAATAGGGGTGGGAAGAGTGTTCAGATATATTGGTTTTCTAGATAACATCATTTACTTTATTGGCATTTCTTTCTTCCTTGTAACTTTGCCAACCACATTAGTGGCAAATATTCATTCAATAAACATTTGAGTGAATATATGTCAGGCTCTAGTCTAGGTGCTGATGATGTAAGAAGCTGAACTAGGCAGAGATCTTGCCCTTGAGAAGGCACAGTCAGGTAGAGTCAGAAACACACTTGTGAGCGCTTGCTTCCTACAAAGTACAAGGCACTTGGGAAACAGGTGGTGGTGATGATTGTGTGCTCGCGAGTTGCTTCTGACTCACAGAGACCCTGTAGAGGATTTCTGAGGCTGTAAATATTTTATGGGAGCAGAAAGCCTCATCTTTCTCCGGCAGAGTGGTTGGTAGATTTGAACTGCTGACCTTGAGGTTTGTAGCCCAGCTCACAGTCTGCTATGCTACCAGGGATCCTTGGAGATACAGCAGAGAATATAAAAAAACCCAAACTCATGGTCATCAAGTCAATTCCAACTCCTGGTGACCAAACGTTAGAGAAGAACTGAGCTCCAGAGAGTCTCCTTGGCTCCTGGTGTGGTGCTGTAGGATCAGCATTGGACTGTCCAAAAGGTTGGCAGTTCAAACTCACCAGCTGTCCCTTGAAAACCCTATACAAGGTCGCTATGAGTCGGAATTGACTTGATGGCCCTTAACAACAATCTTTACAGAAGCAGTCACCAGGCTTTTCTTTCTAGGTACCACTGAGTGAGTTGGATCTGTCAGCCTAGTTAGCAGTGAAGTTCAAACCGGGTGGGACTCCCAGGGACCTTAAGTATGATACTGTTGTTAAATCCACTCAAGTCAGTTATAACTCATGTTGTTGTTGTTGTTAAATACTGTGGAGTCGGTTCTGACTCATAGTGACCCTGCACAGGGTTTCTGAGGCTGTAAATCTTTATGGGAACAGAAGCCTCATCTTTCTCCAGTGGAACCGCTGGTAGTTTCAAACTGCTGACCTTGAGGTTGGCAGCCCAACTGTGGTGCTGTTGGCAGACTGCAAAGTTGTTTGAATTTCAAGGTCGGCGGTTCAAGCTCATCAGCTGCTCCTTGGAAACCCTATACAGGGTTGCTGTGGGTCGAAATCCACTCGACAGCACTTAACAACACAATCCAACTCATAGCCACCCTGTATAGGGTTTCCGAGGAGCCGTTGGTGAACTTGAACCACCGTCCTTGCTGTTCAAACTGACTTTGCAGTCCACCACACCAGGACTCCAAAGTAGGCACTTTTCATTTGATCTTCACCACAATAGGATGATGGAGTCCTGGTATGGCGCTGCGGGTTAATGCTCCAGACTGCAAAGCCATTTGAACTGCAAGGTCAGCGGCTCAAGCTCACCAGCTGCTCCTCCGAAATCCTATACAGGCTCACTATGGGTCGGAACCGACTCGACGGCACATAACAACAGGGTGATATGTGATGTATCAGACACACATGCACAGAGAGCTGAAGGCTGGGGGCTGGGGGAGGCCCTAAACCTGCCCTTCTTCCCCAGTTAGAAATATCTCATCAAGGACACTTCATCTGAGTCTAAAGAGATAATCTAGAAATAGACTAGGTAGCTCAAAGTTGGTTATAGTACGGAGCAGTTCCCAAGATGGATATTTTTGTAGAGAAAAAAGAATTGCAATTTCAAAAGTTTCGAGAACACAATTTGCAAACTTTTAGAGGACTGGGATTCGTTATCAATTTTATCGAGCACAGTTGTACTCTGACATACATGGAGTGCCTAGAAGTCAGAATGGAATGGATAAAGTGGTTTATGTTTTTGTATCTTGTCCTGTGTCCAGCACCTTCAAAGTGCCTAGCACATAATAGACTCTCGACAAGTTAATTGTTGAATGCACACAGGGCATCTATGTGTCTAAGGTGAGTAAATGCTCCATCCCTAAAACGAAACCATACCAAGTTTAGATTAAGGCTGACAGGTTGATATCCATAGTATTAAGATCTAAAACGGGAGGTGGGATCACATAACTGACCAAAGCTGGACCGACCCACATTGTTTGTGCTCGAAGTACGCGTGAAGCCTGTTACTCTCCTTCCACCCCAGCCTCCCCAACTCCAGGACTGCGGACAGCTAGTCCGCCTCTCACTGGCCGATCCCAGAAAAGCCCGCGCGCTCCCACCCCCCCGGCCCGCCCTTCCCTCAGGCAACACAGCGAAAGCGCACGCGCGCCTTCCAGACTTGAGCGCGTGCCCGCGAGCTCCTCGCATCCCCGTGCTCATCCGGGTCTCATTGCGCTTCAAGCCAATAGTGGACGCTCGTTGTCCCCGGGGGCGGAGCTAAATTTTCCCTCACATGGGGCCGGTAGTCATCCCTGGCGCCTGTGGAAAGGGCGATTAGACGGCTGAGAAAGGGGCCAGAAACAGGGATCCCCGCACTGGGACGGGGAGCTAAAGTCTTGAGCGGCTGCTGCCCTCCAGAAGCGACTGAAGCACGAGTAGACTCCCCATCCTGAGCCGGTGTAGTAAACACACTTCAGAAACGTGAGGTGCCGGTGGTCACGTGGGGAGCGTGTCCGCCAATGAGGCGCCGGGGGCGGGGCCTCGGCCGCTGACGCGGCGTCGTCACCCGGGCAGCCTCGGGATCGGTCACCGGCCGGCAACGGTCCAGCGTCCTCGACCACCGCCTCGGTCCTCCATCCTCAGTCCACTCTCTCGGGCGGATAGCGGCCGCCTCCTGTGTCTTTTCTCTCGGCGACTCGCCCGCGGCGGGCCGTTTTCTCCTCGCGGGCCGCCCTGGGGCGAGGTTTCCGTGGCGAACCTGCTGGGGCCGCCGGTACCGGCTCGGGCCGTCGTGGCGGCTCGAGCTCCGGGTACTTGCTCGCCGTCGCGGAGCTCGAGGCCCTGCCAGTTATGCGTCTCCTCCCGGCGACTGCGGCCGGCGCCGGGTCCTAAAGGGCGTCCCGCCGGGACCGGCCGACAGTTTCCATTCATCGTCCCGCGGCGCCGGCAGCGGCTCCCTTTCTGCCGTCCTTCCCTCCCTCCCCGGCTGCGGCGATTCTCCTGGAAGCGACGGTGCCGGCTATGAGCCGCGGTGCCTTTCCTTGAGCTCGCTCTGCCGCCGGCATGGGAGTGAACGCCGTGCACTGGTTCCGCAAGGGGCTCCGGCTGCACGACAACCCGGCGCTGCAGGAGTGCATCCAGGGCGCCGATACCGTGCGCTGCGTCTACATCCTCGACCCCTGGTTCGCCGGCTCCTCCAACGTGGGCATCAACAGGTGGAGGTGAGTCCAGGGGCGCCCCTGCTCCCGAGTGGCCACATTGGGCAGGATCGTACCCCCTGAGTCGTCAGTTCGCTCTGGCTGCAGGGAGAAAGCCATTCATTGCCATGGTCGCGTCCAGATCCCGTTTTCTCCCACCTCGAGGTGACGCTAGGAAGAGCAAGGAAGCGGTGTGTGGCTCTGCTTTCTCTTTGCTCAGCCGGGCCTCTCCACTCCTCCTTGTGGTTGGCAGGACAAAGGACACCTTTTCCTTTTCTGCCAAAGTAGCTGCCTTCCAGGGATCAGGGAAGTGGGCGATCGCAGAGGCGCCTGGTGCCCTTCTAACACCGCAGGCTCAGTGTTGTGTTGGGCTCATGCAACTGATAGATTTCTCATCCCCGAGTGTGTGCCAGCGCTGGCGCGGTGGACAGAGCCTGTCTCTTAGGTGATGATAAGGGCCAGGGAGAAAAGTCGAGCAGAGAAAAGGTCTGAGGAATAAATACAGCGTTGGGGTTGCAGTATGAAATACAGTGTTCGGGGACAGCTGGCCGAAAAGGTGACATTGAAGCCCAAACTTGAGAGGTGTTGAACTGCGGATCTCTAGGGAAGCACATTCTGGGGAGAGGGAACAAACAGTAAGGGGGAAAGGTCCTGAGGTGGGAATGAGGTTGATGCCAAGAGGAACAGCAGCAGAGGAAGCCTGTCTAACTTCAGACCAGACTTAGTGCCGGGAATGTAGGCGGGGATGTGATTAGACCAAACAGAGGAGAGCTTGGAAGGCACTTGTCAAGTTTTGGCCTTTTACCCCAAGTAACTTAGGTACAGGGAAGTGATGTGATCTAATTTAGTTTGTAAATAGTTTCTCTAGCTGCTGGTTCTGAGAACAGACAGAATTGGAGGCCAGAAACTAAATAAAAGGTAGGGAGACCATTTAGGAGGTAGTGCACTTGTCCAGGTGAGTGAAAAATGGTGTGTACCATTATAATAGTGGATATGGTGAGAAGTCATCACATGCCGGTTCTAATTTGAAGACAGACCCATAGTATTGTTGACATACTGAAAAGAGACAGAGGTGGCAATGATGTCTCCATTTGGAGCTTGAGAAACTGAAAGGATGGACTTGTACTTTGTTCAGAAAGAGAAGCCATTGGGAAGGTGATTGAAGTTCTGTTTTAGACTTGGTTAACATTGAGAAGTATGAGTATTCCGGAACACTTAATTGTGCTTATGAGGAATCTGTACATGGACCAAGAGGCAGTTGTTTGAACAGAGCATGGGAACATTGAATGGTTTAAAATGAAGAAAGGTGTGTGACATGGTTTTATTCTTTCACCATACTTATTCAACCTGTATGCTGAGCAAATAATCTGAGAAGCTGGGTTATATGAAGAAAAACATGGCATCAGGATTGGAGGAAGACTCATTAACAACCTGCAATATGCAGATGATACAACCTTGCTTGCTGAAAGTGAAGAGGACTTAAAACATTTACTGATGAAGATCAAAGAGCACAGCCTTTGGTATGGATTACATCTCAATGTCAAGAAAACAAAAATCCTCACCACTAGACCAATAAACAACATTCTTATCAACGGAGAAAAGATTGAAGTTGTCAAGGACTTCATTCTTTTTGGATCAACTATCAACACTCATAGAAGCAGTAGTCAAGAAATCAAACAACATATTGCATTAGGCAAATCTGCTGCACAAGACCTTTTTAAAGTGTTGAAGAGCCAAGAAGTCAGCTTGAGGACTGTGGTGCACCTGACCCAAGCCATGTTATTTTGAATAACCTCATATGCATGCAAAAGCTAGACAGAGAATAAGGAAGACTATACAAGAATTGATGCTTTTGAGTTATGGTGTTGGAGAATATTGAAAGTGCCATGGAGTGCTAAAAGAACCAATAGATTGGTGTTGGAAGAAGTGCAGCCAGAGTGCTCCTTGGAGGCCAAGATGGCCAAACTTCATCTTTCACACTTTGGACATATTGTCAAGAGGGACCAGTCTCTGGAGAAGAGTATCATGTTTGGTAAGCTGGAGGGTCAGAGAAAAAGAGGACCCGCAGTGAGATGAATTGGCCAAGTGGCAGCATTGATGGGCTCAAGCGTGGCAACAGTAGTGAGGTTGAGCCAGGATAGGGCAGTGTTTCGTTCTGCTGCGCATAAGTCTCTATGAGTCGGTACCGACTCGATGGCACCTAACTACAAGTTTGAGATGACTATTGTATACCCAAGTGGAGAGAACAAAAGATGGGTCGCTGTATCAAGTTCAGGACCGATATCTAGGCAAGAGGTAATGGAAAGTTATTTTATAGATAGATTTATAAGTCATCCATCTAGTCCTTCAACAAATATTTGTCAAGTACCTACTATATGCCAGGCACTGTTCTAGGTACGGGGGATTCTGCAGTAATCAGAAGAACCCAGAATCCCTACCTGCTGAAGTTGCAGTCAGTGTTATCATTAGAAACTGAAGCTAGTTAGAAGAGAGGTAAGGTCTTGTAAGAGTTAGAAATTGTGAAGCTGTGAAAAAACCAGCATCGGAGGCTGAGAAGGAGCAGCTAGCAACTGAAAAGAAAATCCCAAGGCATTGGGTGTCTTAGACACCAAGTCTAGAAAGTATTTCACCGAGGAAAGAGTTCTACATATGTCAGATGCTGCCTCCAGGCCAAGTAAGATGAGGACTGAAAATTACAAGGTGGATTTAATGTTTTGAGATTATTTGTTATCTTGTCTAGAGTGATTTCACTAGTATCACTAGTGGAAGTCGTTTTGAAATAATAATAGCTCAAGAGAGGCAGGGAGGAGAGGGGTTGAAGCCAACTCAGATAGGCAACTCTTTCAAGGAGTTTTGCTGTAAAAGAATCAGAAATGGTGTGTGTGTTTGTGTGAAGTCAAGAAAGGATTTTTTGTTTAATGACAGAAATTACAATTGTGTGCTGATGGGACTGAAACAGCAACTATATGTAAAGCAATTTTTCATTAGCAGAAATAACAGCCATCAAACATTGATCCTGGAAAAAGATGACAGAAGTAATATAAGGGATTTATAATGCCTTGCAAAAACGTAACAATAATTCCTTTCTTAGAAAGTTGCTATGTGGATACATTAGTTATCATGTAAAATCCTTAAACTAGTGAGTAGTAATAGTGGTAAGTACTTTTCTTTTTGTGATTAAGTTGGAAACTAGAGTAAATAGTATCTACTTGAATGCCTGCTGTCAGTTTCTTCTAGAGCAATTTATCAATTCATCATTGGTATTGTAAACTTCTGTATATCTTGTTTCTTTAGTACACCCAGCAGTTAACATTGATGAATAAGGAATGAATGACAATTCCTATAAATTGAGGGTCTTACTCTTTCCTGCTATCCCTCACCTTTATCAACTTTATCAATGTCTTCCAGGGAGTGGTCCTCTTGATAGCATGTCCATAGTGCATGAGATGAAGTCTCTCCATCCTTGCTTCTAGGGAGCATTCTGGCTGTACCTCTTACAGGGCAGATTTGATTGTTCTTCTGGCAGTCCATGGTATATTCAGTGTTCTTGGCCAACACCATAATTCAGATGCATCAGTTCTTCTTTGCTCTTCCTTATTCATTGTCCACCTTTTGCATGCATATGAGACGATTGAAAATACCATGACTTGAGTCAGCCGCACTATAATCCTCAGAGTGACAACTTTGCTTTTTAATACTTTAAAGAGGTCTTTTGCAGCAGATTTACCCAATACGCCTTTTGACTTCTTGATTGCAGCTCCCATGGGCATTGATTGTGGACCCAAGTAAATTCTTGATAACTTAAGTCATGGATGATGATGTTGCTAAGTGGTCCTTTAAACAGATTGCACCATTTCATTTCTTTCAGTTCACCTCTGCTGGGTTGACTTCCCAGAGAGGCTGTTCTCTAGTGGTGAAATATAGCAGTGGTAACAGCAGTTACAATAGGAATTAACCCTCTAATCTGCGCCCAGAAGTCTCAGCCGTGTCTTTGTAGCACTTCAGTGGCTCTGTTGGGCTGAACCAGTCATTGTGAGCTTCTGAGCATCTGTGTCTCAGGCGCACAGTAGTCCTCAAATGGATATTTCTGCTCTTCAACACTTTAAAGGGGTCTTGAGCAGCAGCAGATTAGCCTAACTAATACACTGTTTAGTTTCTTAACCGCTGCTTCCATGAATAGAGATTGTGGATTCAAGCAAAATGAAGTCTTAGACAATTTCAGTCTTTTTTCCATTTATCATGATGTTATTTATGGGTCCAGTGTGAAGAATTTTGTTTTCTTTACATTGAGGTACAACACATACTGAAGGCTGTAATCTTTGATCTTCATCAGTGTTTGAAATCCTCTTCACTTTCAGCAAGCAAGGATCATCTGCATATCGCAGGTTGTTAATGAGTCTTCCTCCAATCCTGATGCCATGTTCTTCTTCATATAATCTAGCTTTCAGGTTATTTGCTCAACGTACAAATACTAAGATGCTATTTAACTTTCTCCTGGTCTTTCTCTCACATGTCTGCAGTGGAGGTTTCCATATGCTGTATCTTACAGGGAGTCCTGGCGTGAGATAAGTACAGGACCAGAAGGTCAGTTGGAACCACGAGGTCAGCAGTTCAAACTCACCAGTCACTCCTCATAAACCCTTTCTTTACAGGTCGCTGTGAGTCAGAACAGACTTGACAGCACTTACCTTCAACAACAATAACATCCTACAGAGCCACCATGTTCTGTAGGGTAAACACTGGACTTCATACCACACGGTCAGTGGTTCAAGTCAACCAGCTGTTCCCCAGGAGAAAGATGAGGCATTCTGCTCCCACAAAGAGTCACAGTCTGAGAAACCCTGTATCAGGTCTTCATGGATTGGACCAGACTCAGCAGCATTAACAGCAACAGTATGATGACATGTGATGATAATATTGCTTTGATGGCTAATAGAGTATGTGCCGGTGTCATCTGGTGCTTTCACTTTTTTTCAGCTGAATCGGCATTGACTCGATGACAACAGGTTTGGCTTGGGTTTGGG